ACGAGGCCCGAAGCCTACCTCATCTCCTCCTTTCCGCCTCCTCCGCACTCCCTCCCGCCTCCTCATGCCCCTTACCGACATCCCCCCGCCGCGCACGCCGCCTCCGAGCAGCCCTCCCTCCTCCTCTCCTTCATCCTTCCGCCTCCGCCTCGCACATCGCCGCCGCCTCATCCCTCCTGCCTTCCTCCTTCCTACCCTCGATCCTCCTTCACCCTCCGCCCTCCTCTTCCTCTCCTCCTCCCTCCATCAGCCGTCTCCTACGACCACATACCCTACATGCCCCCATGCACCTCCTCCCCATCCCCCATGCACCTCCTCCGCATTATCATCGTCATCATCATCATCATCATCATCATCATCATCATCATCATCATCATCATCATCATCATCATCATCATCATCATCATCATCATCATCATCATCCCACCTCATCATCATCATCAGCAGCAGTAGCATCATCATCATCATCATCAGCAGCAGCAGCAGCAGCATCATCAACCGCAACATCATCAGCAGCGCCAGCAACATCCTCATCAGCATCACAATATACAACAACAAAATCACCATCAGAGGGCAGCATCAGAAGCATTATCATAAACGTCATCATCAGTATCATCATGAACAGCACCATCAGCAGCCGCATCATCAACATGGTCATCCGCAACATCATCATCAGCATCATCATCATCAGCAGCATCCTCATCAACGCCATCAGCATCAGCATCATCAGCAGCGTCATCAGCACAATCAGCATCGTCGGCATCATCATCCTCATAATCGTCATCAGCAGCATCATCACCAGCATCATAAACATCATCACCCTCTTCAACAACCGTATCATCATCATCAACAGCAGCAGCACCATCACCATCATCAGCAGCAGCTCAGGAGCATCAGTATCAGCATCACCATCATCATCAGCAGCATCATCATCATGATCATCATCATCATCATAATCATCAGCATCAACTTCATCATCACCATCATCATCATCATCATCATCATCATCATCATCATCGTCAGCATTAGCATCGTCTTCGTCATCATCGTCATCAGCGCCAGCAGCACCATCACAATCATCAGCGTCATCATGAACAGCAGCATCAGCAGCAGCAGCGTCAGCACCATCATCATCAGCAGCAGCATCATCACCATCATCGGCACCCTCATCATCATCAACATCAGCAGCATCATCAGCAGCATCAGTAGCATCATCACCATCAACAGCAGCAGCATCATCAGCACCATCATCAGTATCAGCATCATTCTTATCATCAGTATCAGCATCATCGCTGTCGTCAACAACATCAGCATCAGCATCATATTAATCAACATCTGAACCATCACCAGCAGCAGCAACCTCAGCATCCTCATCATATTCTTAAGCATCATCAGCATCACCATCATACGCATACTCAGCATACGAATCGTCCGCATCATCACCAGCATCATCATTGTCGTCGTCGCCATCCCCATGATCATCATCATCATCATCATCATCATCATCACCAGCACCAGCAACATTGGCACCGTCATCAGCATCATCATACTCAGCATCAGCATCACCATCACCATCAGCATCCTCATCGTCGTCATCATCGTCGTTGTCATCGTCACCAACGTTGTCAGCATCATCATCATCATCATCATCATCATCATCATCATCATCATCATCATCAGCGTCGTCATCGTCAACGTCATCGGCATCGTCACAACCACAATAACCACCATGGCAATACTAAAAATAATACACCATCACCATCATCATCACATTCAGCATCGTCGTCATCGTCATTGTCATCGTCATCGGCATCATCGTCATCAGCATCATCGGCATCATCAGCAGCATCAGCATCAGCATCATCATCATCATCATCATCATAATCAGCATCATCATCATCATCATCATCATGATCATCATCATCAGCATCAGCATCATCATCATTATCATCATCGTCAGCATTAGCATCGTCTTCGTCATCATCGTCATCAGCGTCAGCAGCATCATCACAATCATCAGCGTCATCATGAGCAGCACCATCAGCAGCAGCAGCGTCAGCACCATCATCATCATCATCATCATCATCATCATCATCATCATCAGCATGACCATCATCGGCATCCTCATCATCATCAACATCAGCATCATCATCATCATCATCAACAGCATCAGAATCATCATGACCATCAGCAGCAGCATCATCATCAACGCCATCAGTATCAGCATCCTTCTTATCATCAGTATCAGCATCATCGCTGTCGTCAACAACATCAGCATCAGCATCATATTAATCAACATCTGAACCATCACCAGCAGCAGCAATCTCAGCATCCTCATCATATTCTTAAGCATCATCAGCATCACCATCATACGCATACTCAGCATGCGAATCGTCCGCATCATCACCAGCATCATCATCATTGATGTCGTCGCCATCATCATCATCATCATCATCATCATCATCATCATCATCATAATCATCATTATCAGCACCAGCAGGATTGGCATCGTCATCAGCATCATCATACTCAGCATCAGCATTACCATCGCCATCAGCATCCTCATCGTCGTCATCACCATCGTTGTCATCGTCACCAACGTTATCAGCAGCATCATCATCAGCATCGTCATCGTCAACGTCATCGGCATCGTCACAACCACAAGAATCACCATGGCAATACTAAAAAAAGTACGCCATCACCATCATCATCACAATCAACATCGTCGTCATCGTCATTGTCATCGTCATCGGCATCATCGTCATCAGCATCATTAGCATCATCAGCAGCATCAGCATCACCGTCATCATCATCATCATCATCATCATCATCATAATCATCATCATCTTCATCAGCATCAGCATCATCATCATTATCATCATCGTCAGCATTAGCATCGTCTTCGTCATCATCGTCATCAGCGTCAGCAGCATCATCACAATAATCAGCGTCATCATGAACAGCATCATCAGCAGCAGCAGCGTCAGCACCATCATCATCATCATAATCATGACCATCATCTGCACCCTCATCATCATCAGCAACATCAGCATCATCATCATCATCGACAGCATCAGTATCATCATGACCATCAGCAGCAGCAGCATTATCAGCACCATCATCAGTATCAGCATCCTTCTTATCATCAGTATCAGCATCATCGCTGTCGTCAACAACATCAGCATCAGCATCATATTAATCAACATCTGACCCATCACCAGCAGCAGCAACCTCAACATCATCATCATATTCTTAAGCATCATCAGCATTACCATCGTACGCATACTCAGCATACAAATCGTCTGCATCATCAGCAGCATCATCATTGTCGTCGTCGCCATCCTCATGATCAGCATCATCATCAGCATCAGCAACATTGGCATCGTCATCAGCATCATCATACTCAGCATCAGCATCACCATCACCATCAGCATCCTCATCGTCGTCATCATCGTCGTTGGCATCGTCACCAACGTTATCAGCATCATCATCATCATCATCATCATCATCATCAGCATCATCATCATCATCATCGTCATCAGCGTCGCCATTGTCAACGTCATCGGCATCGTCACAACCACAAGAACCACAATGGCAATACTAAAAATAATACACCATCACCATCATCATCACAATCAGCATCGTCGTCATCGTCATTGTCATCGTCATCGGCATCATCGTCATCAGCATCATGAGCATCATCATCATCAGTAACATCATCGTCATCAGCATCAGCATCAACATCAGCAGCATCATCATCATAAGCAGCATCAGCATCAGCATCAGCATCACCATCATCATCCTCATCCTCATCGTCATCATCGCCGTCGTCATCGTCACCAACAGTGTCAGCATCATCATCATCATCATCATCAGCATCAGCATCAGTATCATCACTATTGTCATCGTCACCGTCATCGGCATCGTCACAACCACAGACACCACCAGAGCAATACAACTAATACACCATCACCACCATCATCATCACAACCAGCATCGTCGACATCGTCATTGCCATCGTCATCGGCATCATCATCATCATCATCATCATCATCATCAGTAGCAGCATCAGCATCAACATCAGCATCAGCATAAGCAGCATCATTATCGTCGTAAGCAGCAGTGGCGCCACCATGGCCAGCATGCTCAGCAGCATCATCACCATCATCATCAACAGCATCATCAGCATCGTCATAAGCATCAGCTTCATCAGCACCGTCATCCCGATCACCCTTCTTTATGAATACATCATCTCCCCCATAACCAGCATCATGCCCACTAACAACAGCATAATCAACATCAGCATGACCAGCACGATCAGCATCAACATCAGCAACAGCAGCCGCATCAGCATCATCAGCATCAGCCTCAACATCACCATCATCATCAGCATCATCATCAGCATCATCAGCATCACCGTGATCATCGTCATCATCAGCATCACCGTCATCAGCATCGGCATCATCATCATCACCACCATCATCATCATCATCATCATCATCACAACCACCACCATCACCATCACCATCACCATTCTAATCGTCAGCGTCGTCGTCAGTACCACCATCAGCAGCAGCATCGTCATCCTCATCACCAGCATCGGCCTCATCATCCTCATCCTTCTCACCCTTGCTGGACACGGCCCGTTCCCTCTTACAAGGAGGAGGAGGAGGAGGAGGAGGAGGAGGAGGAGGGGGAGGAGAAGGAGGAGGAGGGGGGGGGGGGGGGGGGGAGGAGGGGGGGGGAGGACGGAGAAGCGAGGATAGGGGAGGGGGAGGAGGCGGAGGAGGAGGAGGAAGGAGAAAGGAGGAGGAGAAGGAGGAGAGGAGGAGGAGGGAGAGGCGGAGAGGAGGAGGAAGGAGGAGGAGGGAGGAGGAGGAGAGGAGGAGGAAACAGGAAAAGGACAGAGAGGAGGAGGAGGAGGAGGAGGAGGAGGAGGAGGACATTTTCCTGAGATCTAGCGGGGCCATCGGCGGAGGCGCCGCGCAAGGCCCCTGGACAGGACCTCGTCCGCCTCGCCCTGGAAGGCCAGGAGCGGGGACTCCTGCGGGCACCCAGGAGGGAGAGCTGTTTGCCCGCGGGGGGAGGGGGTGTGGGGGGGGGGGGGGGGGGGGGGCGGGGGCTGGGGGCGGGGGATAGAAGGGAAGGGAGAACAGAGGAAGGAGACGAGAGAGGCTGGAGGGAAAAAATGGGGAGGGAGTCGGCCTCCTCCTCATCCCACCTCCTCCTCCCCTTCCGCCAAGCTCCTTCTCCCCTCCCTCCCGCCCCCTCTCCTCCCCTCTTCCTCCGAACCGCACTTCCTCTCCGCCTCCACCTCCCCTCATCCTCATCCTCCTCCCTCCTCTCACCTCCTCCTCCTCCTCCTCCTCCTCCTGCCTCCTCCTCCTCCTCCTCCTCTACCTCTCTCCTCCTCCTCCTCCTCCTCCTCCTCATCATCATCATCATCCTCATCATCATCATCATCATCATCATCATCATCATCAACCACATCCTCATCCTCATCCTCATCCTCATCCTCATCCTCATCCATCATAATCATCACATCACATCATCATCACCATCATCATCATCATCATCATCATCATCATCATCATCATCATCATCATCATCATCATCATCATCATCATCATCATCATCATCATCAGCATCATCATCATCATCATCATCATCATCGTCGTCATAATCAGCATCATCCTCATCATCATCAGCATCATCATTATTATCATCATCATCTGTATCAGCATCCTCATCATCAGCAGCATCATCATCAGCATCATCGTCATCATAATCAGCATCATCAGCATCATCATCAGCAGCATCATCATCATCAGTGTCAGCATCATCATCAGCATCATCATCAGCATCATCGTCATCATAATCAGCATCATCATCCCAATCATAGTAATCATCAGCATTAGCATCATCATCAGCATCATCATCAGCATCATCATCGTCAGCATCATCATCGTCAGCATCATCATCATCAGCATCATGAGCATCAGCACAATCATCATTATCATTGCCATCATCACCATCATCATCACCACCATCACCTTCGTCAACAACAACAATGTTTTTAAGATTGGTCGCTCTGATCTGTTCGCCTGCCAATTCTACACGTGTATCTCAGATCCTCGATGCCCGCCCGCTTCGTCTTCGATCGTATCCCCATTAAGGGCATATCGTTCTTGCCTGCAACGTATGCTTCGTGCAGCCCCTGGGACAGGGGAAGAAAGGACGGATGGAGGGAAGGGGCAAGGGTGAGGGAGTAGGATGGTGCACGAGAGAGAACAACAACAACCTCATCATCATCCTCATCAGCATCATCAGCATAATCATCAGCAGCAGCAGCATGATCATCAGCATCATCATCCTCATCAGCCTCATCATCATCATCATCAGAAGCATCCTCAGCAGCATCATTATCACCAGCATCATCGTCATCATCATCATCGGCATCATCAGCATCATACTCCTCAGCATCAGTAGCCTTTTGGGGGGGACGACCGCAACAACTCTCGAGTAATCTGTGCACTCCATGGCGAGATGCGGCAAAGATTGGCCAGCGGCTTCGTTTACAACAAAATCCCAGAAATTATGCTAACGGAGTTCCCCACATAATGATGTTTTTGGGCTAGCGGGATCAAGCAACATTTTGTAGAGAAATTGCCGACCTGCCCTCGCCCTCTCCATCCTTTTCTATCACATGGTTTGCGAATACCCTCCTCGCTCATGCGGGGCTTCCCTGGAGGGGTGGGACGGGCACGGAACCTGATAAATAGCACTGTTCGCGAATACCCTCCTCGCTCAGACGGGGCCTCCCTGGAGGGTGGGAGGGGCAGGAAATCTGATAAATAACACTGTGTTCGAATAGCGTCCTCGCTCAGGCGGGGCCTCCCTGGAGGGGTGGGAGGGGCACGAAACCTGAAATAACAGGTGATGCGAATACCCTCCTCGCTCAGGCGGGGCCTCCCTGGATGGGGTGGGAAGGGCACGAAACCTAATAACAGGTAACAGGTGATGCGAAACCACCCTCCTCGCTCAGACGGGGCCTCCCTGGAGGGGTGGGAGGGGCACGAAACCTGATAAATAACAGGTGATGCGAATACCCTCCTCGCTCAGGCGGGGCCTCCCTGGAGGGGTGGGAGGGGCACGAAACCTGATAAATAACAGGTGATGCGAATACCCTCCTCGCTCAGGCGGGGCCTCCCTGGAGGGGTGGGAGGGGCACGAAACCTGAGAAATAACAGGTGATGCGAATACCCTCCTCGCTCAGGCGGGGCCTCCCTGGAGGGGTGGGAGGGGCACGAAACCTGATAAATAACATGTGATTCGAATACCCTCCTCGCTCAGCTCAGGCGGGGCCTCCCTGGAGGGGTGGGAGGGGCACGAAACCTGATAAATAACAGGTGATGCGAATACCCTCCTCGCTCAGGCGGGGCCTCCCTGGAGGGGTGGGAGGGGCACGAAACCTGATAAATAACAGGTGATGCGAATACCCTCCTCGCTCAGGCGGGGCCTCCCTGGAGGGGTGGGAGGGGCACGAAACCTGATAAATAACAGGTGATGCGAATACCCTCCTCGCTCAGGCGGGGCCTCCCTGGAGGGGTGGGAGGGGCACGAAAACCTGAGTAATAACAGGTGATGCGAATACCCTCCTCGCTCAGGCGGGGCCTCCCTGGAGGGGTGGGAGGGGCACGAAACCTGAGAAATAACAGGTGATGCGAATACCCTCCTCGCTCAGGCGGGGCCTCCCTGGAGGGGTGGGAGGGGTGGGAGGGGTATTGGTATGGTATGGTATTGGTATGGTATGGCTTGGTATGGCTTGGGATGTTATTGGTTTGGTATGGTATGGTATGGTATGGTATTGGTATGGTATGGTATGGTATTGATATGGTATGGCTTGGTATGGCTATTGGTATAGTAAGGTATTGGTATGGTATGGCTTGGTATGGTATGGTTTAGGAGAAGGACGCGGGAGGAGGAGGAGAAGGAGAGGGTGTTCTGGGAAAACAAGAACCCCACTCAGGATGTGGGGAAATAAGAAGCACAGGCGAGAAGAGCTAAAGTGGCCAGCCGGGTAGACGTCACCACATTTAGGGGGGAAGATACGAATTCCCACAAACCCGTATCATCCAGAATGGGCACGTGCTTGCATCGGCCACGCGGCCTGGCCGGGACAGGCAAACGACACCCGTGACATTAATTGCAAAGGCATTTGCCCCAAGTCGGCGCGACACAGTGAAACTACGAACGACAATTCACTCCGAACCTTGCACTCGGATGCCAGGGAGGAGGAGGAAGATGAGGAGGAGGAGGGGGAGGAGGAGGAGGAGGAGGAGGAAAGGGGGGGAGACGAGCTGGACGGCAAAGCCGACGAACGTTTGAAACCATGGGCAGCGAAGCGGGCCCCGTCCAGCGCTGAGCCCATGCGCCAAAGCGGCTCCCAGTGAGCTACAGCTCACAACTCTGTGTGCGAGAAGCTTCAGCATCAGTAGTAGTGTGAATATTCGGTATTCGTAATATTATCACCATCGCCATCATCAGCATCATCAACATCGTCAGCATCATTCTCCTCACCACACTCCTCCTCCTCCTCCTCCACCTCCTCCCCCGCCCCCTCCTCCTCCTGCATCGCCGTTCCTACTCCCCTTCAGCATCTCTTCCCCTCGTTCGTCCTCCTGGTCATCAACCTCTTGACAGTCTTATACGATCGAAGTCCTACTATACCCCTCCTGTGCATCGCCATCACCATCACCACAAGAATCAAAATCATGATCACCACCACTGCCACCACCACCACCATCGTCATCACCACCACCGTCACCGCCACCACCACCATCACCGCCACCACCACCACCACCACCACCATCATCATCATCATCATCATCATCATCATCATCATCATCACCAGCATCATCAGCATCATCAGCATCATCGTCAGCATCAGCATCAGCATCAGCATCAGCAGCCACATCATCACCACCAGCATCATCACCATTGGCATCATCATCAGCAGCATCAACAGCAGCAGCATCGTCATCATCATCACCACCTACGTCATCATCATCATCATCATCATCATCATCATCATCATCATCATCAGAATCATCATCATCATAATCAGCATCATCAGCATCATCGTCAGCATCATCATCATTATTAGTAGTATGATGAGTAGTATGCTCACGATTGGTAGTAATAGCACTGGTACTAGTATTAGCCATACATTGGTATCACCATCGTCAGCATCACTGTCATCAACATCGACATCGTCATCCGCCTCACCCTCCTCCTCCTCCGCCTCATCCCCCGACCCCTCCTCATCCTTAATCGTCGTCCCTACCCCCCCCCCCCTCCAGCATCTCTTCCCCTCCGTCGTCCTCCTCGTCATCCACCCCTTGACAGCCTTATATGGTCGAAGTCCTACTATGTCCCTCCTGTGCATCGCCATCACCATTACCACAACTAGCAAAACCATCTTCACCACCACCGCCACCACCACGATCGTCATCACCACCACCGCCACCACCACCACCACCATCACCGCCACCGCCACCAACACCATCAGCATCATCATCGTCATCATCATCAGCAGCAGCATCAGCAGCCGCATCAATAACACCACCACCATCATCGTCATCATCATCAGTATCAGCCTCACCATCATCAGCAGCAGCATCGTCATCATCAGCATCAGCATCAAGTTCACCATCATCATCATCATCATCATCATCATCATCATCATCATCATCAGCAACAGCAGCACCATCATCTTTGTAGTTGTGATGACAATGGTAATCGTCAGCATCATCGTCACCATCATCTGGTTGCAGCATCCCCATCATCATCATCATCATCCTCCTCCTCCTCATCATCATCATCATCATCATCATCACCATCAGCGTCATCATCATCATCATCATCATCATCATCATCATCAGCATCGTCATCATCATCATCATGATCAGCGTCATCATCAACATCAGCATCATCATCAGTACCATCTTTATCAAAATTCGCATCATCAGCATCATTAGCAGCATCAGCAGAAACATCAGCATCAGCGTCATCATCATCAGCATCATCAGCATCATCATCGTCATCCGCCTGATCATCGTCATCGGCATCGACATCACCATCACCGTCACCATCACCATCGCAACCATTATCAGCATCGTCACCCGCATCATCCTCATCGCCATCATCAGCACCGTCAGCAGCATCGGCATCGTTATCATCATCATCATCAGCATCATCAGCATCATCATCCTCATCATCATCATCAGCAACCTCATCAGCGTCATCAAATTCTTCCGCATCAACATAATCATCAGTACCATCGTCAGCATCAGCACCGTCATCATCGTCAGCAGCATCGACATCAGCATCATCAGCATCATCAGCAGCATCATCAGCATCATCAGTATCGTCATCATCACGGTCAGCAGCAGCAACATCATAATCATTAGCAGCATCAGCATCATGATCATCGTCGTACGCATAATCCGCATTGTCAGCCGCAGCAGCAGCAACAGCACAATCGGCATCATCTTCAACATCAGACTCATCAACACTACCATCAGCAGCACCGTCGCCGTGAAAATCAGCATCGTCGTCGTCCATATCGTCATTAGTCGCAGCAAAATCAGCAGCATCATCATCCTCATCAGCAGCAGCAGCGGGAGCATCATCGCCATCAGGTTCACCACCATCAGCATCATCATCACCACCGCCATCTTCATCACCCCCACCACCACCACCATCAATAGCAGCATGGTCAACAACGCCATCACCGATACAACCACCATCATCATAATCATCACCACCAACCCCATAATCCTGCTGACGCCGACCCCAACGCCGACACCGCCGCCGTCACCGCAGCCGCAGCCCGCCGCCGCCGTCGACGACGACGACGACGACGACGACGACGACGACGACGATAACAACGACGATGACGACGACGACGACGACGACGACGACGACGACGACGACGACGACGACGACGACGACGACGACGACGACGGTGACGACGACCGCGGCGGTGTCGACGATGTCGACGACGTCGGCGACGACAGCCACAGCGACGGCGACGGCGTCGACGGCGACGACGGCGACGCCGACGACGACGCCGACGCCGACGCCGACGCAGACGACACCGACGCCGACGGCAGCGACGACGACGACGACGGCGGCGGCGGCGGCGGCGGCGGAAAGCGGCGGAGTGTCCAGCCTGCAGGATCAGCTCGCCGAGCGCAATCCTGGCCGTCGCCACCGCGCCCTGGCCTCGGCCGCGGGGCCCTCCGCCGACGGCGTCGGCGGCTGCAGCGTAGGCATGTTGGGAAACTGCTCGCAGGTTGTCGAGTGTCCCCGAATGTTGTCGGACCTGTCGCTCTCGAAGGCCCTGGGAGTTTCTCTGAGGCTTCCCGGGGCTCACAGAACCTCCTCGTCATCCTCCTCCTCCAGCTCCTCTTCCTCCTCCTCCTCCTCCTCCTCCTCCTCCTCCTCCTCCTCCTCCTCCTTCCCTCTCTCCGCCTCCTCCTCCCCCTTTTCCCTCCTCCCCCCTAATCCCCTTCTGTCTCCATCTTCCCTCAACCTCCTCCTCCTCCTCCCCTCCTCCTCCTCCTCCTCCTCCTCCTCCTCCTGCCTCATTTTCCTCGTCCTCCTCCCTCTCCTCCTCCTTCTCATCCTTCCTCTCTCCTCCTCACTCCTTCCTCCCCATCCTCACTCCTCCTCCCTCTTCCTCCTCCTCCCTCCTTCTCCCTCCTCCCTCCAGGCGCCTTTCTGGTTCGAAGGCCTCGGGAGCGGTTGCCAGGCAACCGCGAGCCCTCACACAGAACGAACGTCCCCAGCCACGAGCCCGATTCCGGCAGCGGTGACACATCATACTACAATTCGTTCCAGGTCACCTGCGTGGCACCGTCGTGAACGCGGAAATCGAGCCTGGGCTCGGAACTTCCTCAGAGGAGACAAGGCCATAAGAGTTCTCAGAGACCACTACCGAGAAGACATGGTACACGAGCCGAAAAGAGAGCGGAGTCGCCAGCCTAGACGTCACAAGAAAGGCTGGCAGCAGAATTGGAAGTCTCCCCACCGTCGTCTTTGGAAGTGTCAAGCATGCAATCATCACAACCCATGGGAAGCCAAGAAGTGCAACAAGTGCAATCCAGACAGGGAGGAGAAGCCTGAAGGCAGGCCATCCTCAACCGCACCATGGGCTAATTACACCAACAAGAAGAAGCTCGCGCCCGTCGCCAATGGCAAGAGCCTCCGGAGAACCCAAAGTCCCTGGGAGAGTACCGCAAGGCGCTCGGGGACACACTCGAGAGCATCGAGCGACAGATCAAATGCGGAGAAAAGATGGATCTCAGAGATGAGAAGGTAGATGCCCTCAAGCAGGAGTACGCAGTTGTGCTCTACCAGATCATGTTCTCGCGCACCGCCTCGGCCCGCGTGACGAAGCAGCAGAGCTTCGTCAACAGGGCAAGGCGCCGCCTCACGGACATCATGACCAAGAGAGCTGAGGCAAAGGAGCACCTTGACGCATGCACTGAAGTACAAAGTGAACGTGAAGATCTGGCACGTGCTGAAGAATTACTGGAACACTCCGAAAATCTTGTAGAACAAGCGGCCGAAAAGCGCGAAGAGGCCGAGTTAGCAGCAGGTCCACCGGTCGGACGACGCCTCAACGCAGCGATGGAAGCAGCACACGTGGAAGAAGATGAAACCGATGAAGCCCACACTCGACAGCGGAGAAGTCAGGAGGGCTAAGTCCAGACGGAGCAAGTCCATACGGGGACCGAGCACTACGTGCGGACTTACTCCGTAGCGTTCTACCAGGAGAAGCTAAGTCCAGACGGAGTGAGTCCTACGGATACCGAGCACTCCGTATGCTCTTACTCCGTATGGACTTGGAATCCTCCGGAGGAGACTTCAGGCCGCGCCGCACAGCACCGTCGCCATCAGTGGAGGCACTAGCTGCGCAGCGACCCTCACAAACTGCTCGAACAGATGTGCAGCAGCAACATGGAGCTCGGCCGTTGAACACGGGCTAGTTGGTTGAAACACACGAAGCTGCATCACCGGCCATGTTAGCAGCACTCCAGCATTCTAATCAGCAGCTGTTTTCGCAGATCACCAATTTCACAGACGCATGATGGAGAATGTCCAGAAGCAGAGTGGCGAAATTAGATTGGATAGAGCCCAAGATTTGGCATCAATCCAGCAGCAGCAGCAGCAGCAGCAGCAGAACCTTCTGAAAATCATTCGGACCGACAAGTCCCACCAGCCCTTTGGGCGTGAGTGGTTTAGAGAGCCCGCTCTGTTCTCAACCCCCTTCTTCCCCTTCGGGGAGGGGTTTACCCCTCCCCCTACCCCCTCCCCCTGGACCTGGAGAGGTCCTTTCGCGGGTGGTTGGAGGGGTCTTTTTCGACTCCTGGGAGGGCTAAAAAACGACACCCCTCACGAGGATTCTGGCCCCGACGGGGGGGGGAGAAAAAACCTCCCCTCTTCTTTGAAGCCAAAATCATTGATTTTACTACGGTTTTGGCCCCATGTTGGCCTTCTGAGGGGGCAGCGCTAATTAAAGCTCCCCTCTTCTTTCAAGCCAAAATCATTGATGTTTCTAAGGTTTTGGCCCCATTTTGGCCTTCTGAGGGGGCAGCGCTAATTAAAGCTCCCCTCTTCTTTGATCGATTTCCTCCAAGATGGCCCCAAGAAGCGCCCAGGAGGCACCAAGAGGCCCCAAGATGGCCCCAAGAGGCCCCCAGGAGGCCCCCAAGAGGATCCCAAACGGCCCAAAGAGGCCCCCCCGAGGCACCCAAGACGCCGAAAAGCCCATCAGGACGACCCTCTACTCGCCTGGGCGTCGTTTCTGGACGGGCAGGAGGAGGGGCCCGAACGACTCACACCAGGACGAGGGGCCCGAACAACTCACACCACGAGAAGCCCGAACGACTCACACCAGGACGAAGAGCCCGAACGACTCACACCACGAAGAGCCCGAACGACTCACACCAGGAAGAAGGGCCCGAACGACTCACACCAGGACGAGAAGCCCGAACGACTCAAACCACGAGGAGCGCTTTCTCTCCCTCCTCCTCCGCCTCGTCCTTCTCCCGCTCCCACCACAAGGAGGATGTACAAGGAGGCGGGAGGAAGGAGGAGCAGGGGAGATATGCGGGGGCAGGCGGAAACACGCCTGAAAAACACGATTGTCGGCATGCTTCGCTAGAGTTGCTGTTTTGAGATGGGCTGGTGGCGATACGCGAAGCGTGAAGAATTACACACACACACACACAAGCACACCGACCACGAAGAAGGCAAGGAACATCCCACCAGAGGAAGCAGCAGCACGGAAGGAATCGCCTTGTTGGTGCATTCAATGAAGGCAGTCACGGTAGCTCGCCCTCAGCTGGTCGCAAGGGAGCTCAGCCTCCCGGAGAGGCAGTGTCAGATGAAGAAATCGTTGGTGCCAGGCCGTGCTTCGAGAGCAACGGGTCCAGCATCGCCACCAGGAGAGGCTACTCATGAGCAGCAGCCACAACATGAGGGGGCAGCTACAGCAGAGCAGCCGACACTTGTTCATGAAGCACCTCGCATGAGTTGCGGCACTGCAAAATTCGCCAGCGCTCGCCCAGGCCCCTACTGAATCCCCAACTCCACCTTGCCGACCCCAGCAGAGCAGGAAAGAAGGAATCCAGGAACACAATCAGCATTGTCAGAGGAAGCCACCTCTCGTGCATGCGAACGGTTGCAACATCATGGGCGCCATGCGGGAGGAGCCCTGCAGGGAGCCCGTATCGCAGGTACCCCGCATTCGCCAGTGCCTCCCCTTGATGGCACCAGGTCTCTCATCGAGCGCCCATGGTCCGTGCAGCACTCCAAGGACAGCTTTAACATGGGCCCAGTATTGGCTCGTCTACTAGTCAGGTCGTCCCAGATCTCATCCCATGCCATCCTCACGCCAGCTACAACTATCTGGAAATTCACACAGACGCGACACTGGGAGGATGTGCTCACCACCTGGGCGCCATGTGCCGACTGGCTTGGGCGTCTTGTGTGCTAGCTTTCTCAGCCATGGGCGCCTCTCTCCTGGGCTACATGGCAGGACCACTGCAAGGAGGGTCAGCAGCTGACCCCCTAGTTCACTCTTGTGAGGGCATCGAAGCTGCCATTTGGGCCACAGCATGGTCGATGCAAGCACCAGCTCTAAAAGTGATTCCAGCCAGTTTGACCACACACACACCATGGATGTGCTACGTGCACACCAGGGAGGGTACGTGCATAGCGCACTCAAATCAGCCAAGATCCGACCAAACAACTTACACCAGCATTGCGTACGTGTGTGTGTGTGTGCATCCTTAGGTTTCAAAATGTGCATGGTCATACTACGCAACCCTGGAACGAATGCGTTGACACGCTGGCCACACTGTACGCTATGCAGATTTTGCCACGGCTACTTTAGCCCAGCTGGTGCAGCTTGGTACAGCAATCGCCGCATGACGAAGAGATGCCGTGGCTATGGACGGCATGTGCACCGCTAGACGTACAGCAAGGCTTGCCTCCCGCATTAGGAACACACGTGCAAGCAGCGCTTGTCCCCAATCTCGGGATCCAGCATATCCTGGCAGGCCCCACAAGGAAAATCAAGCAGCCCTCTATCAGGAATGCCATGGGGTGGGTTGCCATTGCGAATGTGCTGACTATGGCTCCCAGGGCCTCTGGACTCGACATCACAGGAAGAATGGTTCAACTGCTCGGATAACTCGCACAAAAACCGAACGTGTGGAGAGACGACTGCGACACACGGGTATCTCTACCATAGGGCCCTTACGAACTGCTGCATTCGTTTGCACTACCATCAGGTGGGGACGTATGCACAAGGTTAGGGAACCGAAAAATTACATAAACTTAAAAACTCGAAGGTCCGCGCAGATTTCTTGGATCCGCGCCTGACCCCCTCCCTGGCGCGCGGAGCGCGCCAGGGGCGACGCTGGAGGCGCCGCTGGGGGGCCCCAGCGCCGATCCGAGAAATTCGCGCGGACCCCCGAGTTGTTATGTTTATGTCATTGTTCGTGTCCCTAAATGTGGAGCAACACACATATGAAATACCAGCTCGGATGCAACATCTCCCGATCACATTGCCAGGTGATGCATGCAGCTCCAACAGTTTTAACGTCTCCATCCGTGAACCCTCGCCGTCTTCGTGCAGATGTACTGCTCACGCACCACACTCTCGCCGCCCACCTGCACATCTCCAGGCACGGTGGGCAGACCCTGCAAGTCTCCTGACCAAGCAGCAAGGACAGACAGATAATGTGGCTACACTAGTCGACGCCAACGCTGCAGTAGGCACGATCACCGACTCCAGCATTGGAAGTAGACATCCTGAGACTGAAAACATCCCAGGGATCTCCTTCAGGCTATTCCTCAAGGATACCAAGCAGTGGGCCCCATCCACCTTGCACGAAGACCTCTACCCTCTACGAAGACCCTTCAGGCAACGCGGGGGCTTGGATGGCTCCAGGAGCTCTGAAGGTCACCAAACGAAGGGACTACGCGGCTGTCTCAGAGGACCTGCAGGTCTCAACCCAAGGAGCAGATCACGACATCGGCCGCCAGGGCGCGCGCACCGAGCTCAGGCACGCACGGAGGGCCGCGGGCACAGCGCCGCAGGCGCCGCGGCGGGGCGCACCGCGCGCGGCGAAGAAGGCCGCGAGGTAGGCCTCGGCGCCGCTTCGCTGCAGCGCCGCCGCCAAGTTCTCGCGGGCTGCCGCCAACGCGTCGCAGTCGCCGCGCACCCAGGTGCGGAGCAGCGCCCACGTTTCTGAACCAGCGCGGCCCAGGGCCTCCAGCGCGAAGGCCGTGACCGCTGGGCCCGAAAGCGGCCCCTGTTTGCGTTCCTCCGCGGCCGCCGCGGCAATACCGGCCTGGACGGCGCGGCTCTGGCCCGCTGCCGCGCCCGCCGCCCGCCACGTCGACGCACACGACGCCGAACGCGGGGTCTGCGAAGGCCACGTCGAGGCGGGGGGGGGCCTCCAAGAGGCCGCACGACCACAACCGGCCCCCAGCGGGGACGGCCTGCTCTGTGGCCGTCCATGTAGCGTCACAGGCGTGCAGCCAGCGCGCGAGCCAGTCCTGGACGCCCCTGTGGCGCGCGATCGTTCCGCGGCCAACGTGCCCCAGCGCGGCGGCCAAAATGGCTCCGCAGCGCGTTCCGTCCGCCCTGGCGCGGAGGAAAGTGGCGCTGGTGTCTGGTGGTAGGCCCAGCCGCAGTCGGAGCGACAGCGCCGGCAGGAAGTGCGCGTCCGCCAGCATGTGGTCGACCTGCTTCGGCGGCAACAGCCAGCTGCCCGCGCCCTTGTCGCCCGCCGAGCGCAGCTGCGCTGTCTGGCCTGGCGGGCAGGTGGCCGAACCCCCAGTAGCCGTTGCCGGCGCGGTTGCTGCTCTGGCCCCGCGAAAGCGCGCTGCGCCTTCTGCCGGGGCCCCGCGGCAGCGCACGGCCAGTCGGCGCCGCTCGCCCGCAGCGGCCGGCCCGCGCCTTCGGCGGCCCCCCACACTCGCGGGCGAGCCCGACGGAACGCCTCCCGGCTCCAGGCGGGGGAGCCCGAGGCCGCCGCAGACACCAGCCAAGCAAGACTGCCAGGCCCCGACGTGAGCGGGCAGCCAGCGGCGCGCGAGGCCCCGCAGCCCGAGCCTCCCTCGTCCTCCCTCCCTCGTCCCTGTGGCCTGTCGCGCCCCGAGGCGGGCGGGCAGGGCGGGCCGGGCGTTTCGCCTGGGGCTTCCTCCTCGCCTCCGGGGGGTCCTGAAGCTTGAGATGAGCAGCAGCTGCACGGACGGAGGGCGGATCGTTTTCAAGGTTCGTTCTTTTAAAGCTTGCAGCAGCTTCACGGATGGAGGGCGTTGTCTTGAAAATGTGGCTCTCGCCTTAGCGCCGCGCATGTTCGTCTACAAAGTTTGAAAGAACTTCACGGATGGAGGGTGGGTCGTTTTGAAAAATGTGGCTCTCGCCTTAGCGCCACGCAAATTCGCGCACAAAATCCCACCAGCCCTCTGGGCGTCGGTGGTTTAACGAGTTTCCTCTTCCACCCCTCCTTCCCCTTCGGGGAGGGGTTTACCCCTCCCCCTGCCCCTTCCCCACTGACCTGGACAGGGGGGGCCGCGGGTAGTTAGAGCGTCCAAGAACGACCCCTGGGAGGGCTAAAATTCGACACCCCTCACGAGGATCGTGGCTCCTGAGGGGGGGACTGGAATTAGGGAACCCCCCTTCGTTGATCGATCTCCTCCAAGATGGCTCCGAGGCCCCCCAAGAGGCCCCCAGGAGGCCCCCAAGAGACCCCCAAGAGGCCCCAAGAGACCCCCCAGAGGCACCCAAGAAGCGCCCAGGAGGCCCCAAGAAGCGCCCAGGAGGCCCCCAAAGGCCCCAAGATGGCCCCAAGAGGCCCCAAGAGGCCCCCAGGAGGCCCCAAAGAGGATCCCGAACGGCCCACAGAGGCCCCCCCGAGGCACCCAAGACGCCGAAAAGCCCCTCAGGACGACCCTCTACTCGCCTGGGCGTCGTTTCTGGACGGGCTGGTGGGGATACGCGAAGCGTCTAGAATTCGAAAGCACTTCACGGATGGAGGGCGGGTCATTTTCAGAATGCGGTTCTCGCCTTAGGGCCGCACACATTCGTTTTAAAAATTGCAGGAGCTTCACGGATACAGGGCAGGTCGTTTTGAAAATTTGGTTCTCGCCGTAGCGCCGCGCACATTCAATTTGACAGTTTGCAACAGCCTCAACGGTTCTTATGGCTGACATCCCAAAAGTTTTAGCTCGGCACAATTTAAGATTGTCAGGTCAGGACGGTCACGTTGATTCGCGGTGCCAACGTCCCAAAAACCGTGTTCTGGCTCGATTCAGGATCGTCAAGTCGGAACTATAATGTCGATTCGCGGTGTTGTAGCCTGATTCGGATTTTGAGACGGTTGTCTTCCAACGGGACTCTTCCCGCAGTGACACTGAATCCTATTGGAGCCCATGAGGGGGGAATTTGGAGCGATGGTTTCTTGCAAAATTGTTGATGAATCTCGGGCTTCCACTGGTCCTCATCCTCCTCCTCCTACTCCTCCTCCTCCTCGTCCTCCGGGTCTTTTTATATGAATTGTCGGACCCTATCTCCTCTCTCTCTCTCTCTCTATTCCCCCTTGGTGGCGTGCGATTATCATCCTCCTTTTACCCCTCTTCCTCCTGACCCCCTCTCCTGGTCCTCCTGCTCCTCTATGGCACCAATGGAAAAGTGTGCATGCGTGTACGCGTCCCCCCGTCCGTTTCGGCGCACTCCTCAAACGCTTCGTTCTCTTGACGGAACTCCGCTTACGGCACCCATGGAAACTGTGCAAGCGCTAACCCATTCCGGCGCACCACTTAAACTTGCCCTGCCCCTTAGGGAGCTCTACCTACGGCCTCAGTGGGCAACTTTGCATGCGTCCCCCCGCCCTTTTCTTCAGCGCACCTCTCACATGTGTCGTGCTCACTAGGGAGCTCCGCCTATGGCCTCAATGAGAAAATGTGCACGCTCCCCCGCTCATGTCGGCGCACTCCTCAGCAGCTTCGCGCGAGGAAACACAAACGGATAGGAGCACAAAGATCTTCGCAAAGCCTTGGCGGACGCGCGCGGGGGCCTGGAAATGAGACACAAGCGGGTGGTTATTCTGAGAGGTCGCACTACTCTTTTTCGAACTCGGCGCGGCCCGACGACAGAAAGACAGCCAGAGAGCATGCAACACAACTGGGCCCTGCCCGCACGTGTATGTGTGTGTGTTCCAGCCTCCCCGTGCACCGAGGAAGCTCCACCTACGGCCCCGGAGGGAACGCTTGCGTGCGCAAGCCCGCCTATGTTGCGGCACATCGACCGTTTTTTCCGCCGGCGACGAGGCGAAAAAAACGGCTGCGCCAGCGATGGAGCTAAACGGGGACACCGAGAGGCACGCCGATCACGCACTGCGTGCCCCGTAGGGTTAGGTCGGTCGTGTCGCTCCACAGGCAGATTTTGGAGGAAAAATTAAAAATACCCTCGCATTCCGACGGTAGGACCCCACATGAGAATCTGTTTAGCTTGCCCCTCGAGTTGTTCTTGTTGCCTTGGCGGAGGGCCTGGTATCGGCAAATGTTTCGCCTGCCCGTCCTCCTCGTCATGTTCGCCCTCCGTCTCCTCCTCCTCCTCCTCCTGTTCCTTCTCCTCATCCTGTTCCTTCTCCTCCTCCTCCTCCTCCTCCTCCTCCTCCTCCTCCTTCTCCTCTTCCTCCTCCTCTTCCTCCTCCTCCTCCTCCTCCTCCTCCTCCTCGTCCTCGTCCTCTTCCTCTTCCTCCTCCTCCTCCTCCTCCTCCTCCTCATCCTCCTCCTCCTCCCCCTCCTCCTCCTCTTCCTCATCCTCCTCCTCTCCTCCTCCTCCTCCTCCTCCTCCTCCGCCTCCTCCTCCTCCTCCTCCTCCTCCTCCTCCTCCTCCTCCTCTCTCTCCTCCTGCTCCTCCTCCTCCTCCTCCTCCTCCTCCTCCTCCTCCTCCTCCTCTCCTCCTCCTCCTCCTCTCGTCCCACTTTTCCTCCTCCTCTTCCTTCCCTCCCTCTTTCACCTCTTCCTCCTTTCCTCCTCCTCCTCCTCCTCCTCCTCCTCCTCCTCTCCTCTTCCTTCCTTTCCTCCTCCTCCTCCTCCTCCTCCTCCTCCTCTTCCTCCTCCTCCCTCCTCCTCCTCCTCCTCCTCCTCCTCCTCCTCCTCTTCCTCCTCCTCCTCCTCCTCCTCCTCCTCCTCCTCCTCCTCCTCCTCCTCCTCCTCCCCCTCCTCCTCCCCTCCTCCTCCTCCTCCTCCTCCTCCTCCTCCTCCTCCTCCTCCTCCTCATCCTCCTCCTCTTCTCCTCCTCCTCCTCCTCCCCCTCTTCTTATTATTATTAGTATTAGTAGTAGTATAAGTATCAGTATTAGTAGTAGTAGTAGTAGTAGTATAGTAGTAGTAGTAGTAGTAGGAGTAGGAGTAGGAGTAGTAGTAGTAGAGTAGTAGTAGTAGTGTCGTCGTAGTAGTATCGTAGTGTAAGTAGTAGTAGTGTAAGGTAGTAGTAGTAGTAGGTAGTAGTATTGTATTAGTATTAGTATTAGTAGTAGTATTAGTATTAGTATTAGTATTAGTATTAGTATTAGTATTAGTATTAGTATTAGTATTAGTATTAGTATTAGTATTAGTATTAGTATTAGTGTTAGTATTAGTATTAGTATTAAGATTAGGATTAGGATTAGTATTAGTATTAGTAGTAGTATTAGTATTAGTGTTAGTATTAGTATTAGTATTCGCGTTGGTAGTAATAGTATTAGTAACATGAGTATTAGTATTATCTTAATAATCTTACTTCGTAAAAGTAACATGTATATCATTAGTATGATTAATAGTATTAAGATTACCCGTATGCTTATCATTTAAATTATTAGTATAATTATCCGTGGCTCTTTACTATTATGGATCGTACTCTTTATCTTATCATTGATATCATTTTCATATTGCTTTTAATATCACCATCATCAATATTATGATTGCTCGTCCTATTCTTATTATTGCTATTCCTAGTATGTTGTTTATGGTTATTACCAGTAGTCTTATTTTTCGTGATTTCGTCTTCTCCGTATCTTGACTATGATTATTAATAGAATTAGTATTATGCTTATAAGTACTATTCGTATCATTCGTATTATTATAACGATTAGTAATAGTATAAGTCGTGTCATGTTTCTTCTTCGTATTAATATCAGTATTGGTAATATGTTTGTCTTGCTCTTCTTAGTACTATTATTAGTGTTGTTAGCCTTAGTATTATTATGATTCGTAGCCTTCTGAATCGTAGTATTGTCTTTATCAAGCTTCCTCGGATTAGAAGTATGACGATTCGCCTTCTTAGTTTAAGTAGTGGTATCATTATGCTTATCATTACTCTTGGTATTATTAAAATCATCGACATCCTTCTTAACATTCTTATTAGCATTCTCAATATTCCTATTTGAATTGATATTGTGTATATTATTATTACTCTTCTGATTCCTCCTCCTCATGTTCCTCCTCCTCGTCCTCCTCCTCCTCATCATCATCATCATCCTCCTCCTCGCACCACTCCTCATTATCTCTCCCTCTCTCTCTCTTTCTCATATCCTCCTCCCGCGTGTTCTTCGCATACACCTCCAGCGCCTCGTGGCCGGGGCAACTCGATTTTCCTCGGCACCGTCGCCGCCACGGCCGGCACGGGCGCGTTCTCCGACGGCCGGCCGGGTCGCGAAGCCGTCGGGGCAACCCTTCGAGCCAGCACGTTGGGACAACCCCGCGAGCCGCTAGGGCGCGAGAGCATGCCGTTAGGACAACCCCGCAGGCACCGAACTAGTCGCGGCCGCGCTCAGGCGGGAGGCAGCACGAAGTCCAGCTCTGCCGCGAGCTGCTCCGCCTCAGCCCTGGAGCCCACCGCTCTCCAAGGCCCGCTCGGATTACCAACATAATACGCGGGCCCCATAGGGAGGGGGCTCCCGCCTGAGAATTCCTCGCGCTTCACTCACAGACGAGGCTCCCGCCTGAGACTTCCTCCATATTCAAGTCTGAGGAACCCAAAAGTGACGACATTTACAAATTTGAGAATGATCCGCTCGGATTCGAACATGAAGCGCGGGCCACATAGGCAGGGGGCTCCCGCCTGAGACTTCCTCGCAAGGCACTCACAGACGAAGCTCCCGCCTGGGACTTCATCCATTCTCAGGCTTGAAGGGCCCACAAATGACGACAGTTACAGGTTTCCGATGACCCGCTCGGATTACCAACATGAAGCGCGGGCCCCATGGGAAAGAGGCTCCCACCTGAGACTTCCTCGCCATTCGCTCACAGACGAGGCTCCCGCCGGAGATTTCCTCCATATTCAAGCTTGGAGAGCCAAAAGGTGACGACTTACAAAGTTTTGGATGACCCGCCTCGGATTCGAACATGAAGCGCGGGCCCCATAGGGAGGGGGCTCCCGCCTGAGATTTCCTCGCAATTCACTCACAAACGAGGCTCCCGCCTGGGACTTCCTCCATGTTCAAATCTGAGGAGCCCAAAATTGATGACGGTTACAGGTTTCCGATGACCCGCTCGGATTCGAACATGAAGCGCGGGCCCCATAGGGAGGGGGCTCCCGCCTGAGACTTCCTCGCAATTCACTCACTAACGAGGCTCCCGCTTTGTACTTCCTCCATACTCAAGCTAGGGAGTGGGTGATGACGAAGTAATGAGTGAATGATGATGATGATGATGATGATGATGATGATGATGCTGATGCTGATGCTGATGCTGATGCTGATGCTGATGATGATGATGATGATGATGATGATGATACTGGTGGCGATGATGATGATGATGATGATGATGATGATGATGATGATGATGATGATGATGATGATGATGATGATGATGATGATGATGATGATGCTGAGTGATTGAGTGATGACGAGTGTATAATGATGGCAAGGATGATGTTGATGATGATAACTGATCGAATGATGATGAGGGCGATGGTGATGACGGTTCTGATGATGAGTGATTACGATGATGACGATGACGATGATGACGATGATTGATGGCACATGGTGACGATGATCGATGGTGATGAGACGGGCTGAATGCGTGAGGCGGAGAGGGGGAGGGGATGAGGCTCCTGCGCGGGGGGTCCAGAGGCAACAAGACCCCACTTAGGAGATGGGGCAAAAATATTCAAGAATGGTCACAGATCACTGGCCATCGACCCCACACTATCCTGTAGAGGGACGTGCCCGACTTAACCTTAGGGAGCTCCACCTGCATGGCCGGAAAGGAAAAAATCTGCATGTCCTGAGGAGGCCGAGCCGCAGGGCCCGGAAGAGGAAAAGAGGCATAGGGGGGCGCCGTGGCCACGCGCGGGCGCGAGAGCGCTCCGAGAGGGCCTCCCTCCCCCTCCCTCTCCCTCTCCCTCTCCCCTCCCCTCCCCTCCTCTCCCCTCCCTCTCCCCTCCCCTCCCCCCTCCCCTCCCCCCCCCTCCCCCCTCCCCTCCTCCTTCCTCCCTCCCTCCCCCCTCCCCCTCCCCTCCCCTCCCCTCCCATCCCCCCTCCCCTCCGCAGTGGAGCACGAGTCGTCCGCACCCCGAGGCTGCCCGAAGGCGCACGAGCGGGACTACGACGACAACCACCACAAGATCCGGCAAGACGACGACCATCGTCGGTCGTGTCCGTGTCGTTCTCCTTCCCATGATCGTCCTCTCGTCATGCTCCGCCCGCCGCCGTTTCCTCCTGATCCCATGACATGGGTTCACCAGAAGCTGCGTGGGTGGGGGGGACGCGTTCCGTCAAACGGTTCGTCCTACTTCTGCTCGCCCTCCCTCTCCTCCACCCCTTGTCCTTATGAATAATTCTTCCCTGTCGCACCCCCGAGGCCAGTCGGAAGGGCGGGCCGGGCGGTTCGCCTAGATTTCCCTACCAGTTACGAATTTCAAGCTTAAAACTGACAAGAACTTCACGGATGGAGGGCGAGTGATTTTCAAAATGTGGCTCTGGATGTAGCGCCGTGCACTCTCGTTTTAAAAACTTAGCAGAGCTTCACGGATTGATGGCGGGCCGTTTTCAAAATGTGGCTCTCGCCTTGGCGCCGCGAACATCCGTTCTAAAACGTTGTGAGAGCTTCACGGATTGAGGGCGGCTCCTTTTAAAAATTTGGCTCTCGCCTTGGCGCCGCGCACATTCGTTTAAAGAGCGAAAGAATTTCACGGATTGGGAGCGGTTCCATATTGAAAATCCCACCAGCCCTCTGGGCGTAGGTGGTTTAACGAATGTTGTCTTCTCCCTGCAAAGCCCTTCCTTCCTTTGCTCGGGGGAGGGGTTTTCTCCTCCCCATGCTCCCTCCCCTGGGCCTGGACGGGGCGCTCCGCGAGGGGTTAGAGCGCTCAAGGTGGCTCCAAGAGGGCCTCCGAGAGCGCAGGATGGCCTCCACGATGGCTAAAGATACCTCAAGATGGCTTAAGAAAGCCTCCGAGAAGCATCCAAGAGGCATCAAGACGGCCCAAGACGGTTTCAAGTGCCATCCGAGCCCTCCAAGGACCCCCCAAGAGGCCAAAATGGCTCCAAAACCAGAAAGGACAATCAATGTTGTGTGCCTTCTCGCCTTGTCGCTTCCGTTGGGCTCTGGAGGCCGTACGATGGCCCCAGACGGCCCAAGCGAGCCCCCAGAGTGGCCCAAGTGGGCCGCGAGAGGGCCCCAAGAGCGCCCAAGAGCGCCCCACGAGTGGCCCAAGAGGGCCTCAAGACGCCAGTGTTGAGCCTCCCAGGGGGGGGACATGAATTTCCCCCCCCCCTCTGTTTGACTCACGGGGGCCAAGATGGCCCCAAGAGGCCTCCCAGACCCCTCCAGGGAGCCCCTGAGGTCCCCAAGACTCTCAAAATGACCCCCAAGAGGGCCCCGAGAGTGCCCCAAGAGGCCCCACGGCGGCCCCAAGAGAGCCCCATAAGATGGCCTTCATCATCCTTCAAGAACCTCTCACAACAACGCACCTCCAAAGACCGACGTCTCATCCTCCTTGTCATCGTCCGTTCCTTCCTCAGGCGTTCATCCCTCCTCCCTCCTCCTCTTCCTCCTGTTCCTCCTCCTCCTCCCCTCCTCCTCATTATCATCACCATCCTCCGCCTCCTCCTCTGTGTCCTCCTCCTCCTCCTCCTTCTCCTCCTCATTATAATCATCATCATCATCATCATCATCATCATCATCAGCAGCAGCAGCATCATCATCATCATCATCATCATCATCATCATCATCATCAGCATCATCGTCGTCGTCGTCGTCGTCAGCATCATCATCATCGTCATCGTCATCGTCATCATCATCATCATCATCACCACCACCACCACCACCACCATCATCATCATCATCAGCATCAGCAGCAGCAGCATCATCATCATCATCATCACCACCACCACCATCATCATCATCATCATCATCATCATCATCATCGCCACCAGCATCATCATCATCATCATCATCATCAGCATCAGTATCAGCATCAGCATCAGCATCAGCATCATCATCATCATCATCATCATCATCATCATCATCATCATCATCATCATCATCATCGTCAGCATCATCATCATCAGAATCATCATCAGCACCATCATTGTCATCGTGTCGCATTCTTCCTCCTCGGAAGCTTCAGCATCAGATCATCATCACCAGCATCATCATCATCAGCATTAGCATCCGCATCATCATCATCATCACCATCATCATAATCATCCTCAGCATCAGCATCCTCATCAGCAGCATCATCAGCAGCATCAGCATCCGCATCATCATCATCAGCAAAATCATCATCATCGTCATCGGCATCATCATCAGCATCATCTTCATTAACATCATCATCAGCATCATCAGCATCTTCAGCGTCATCATCATCAGCATCAGCAGCATCGCCATCATCACCACCACCACAACCATCCTCCTCATCCTCCTCTTCTTCACCCTCCTCCTCCTTCTCCCTTGTTCCTCCTCCTCCTCATCCTCCTCCTCTTCCTCCTCCTCGTCTTCCTCCTCCTCCTCCTCCTCCTCCTCCTCCTCTCCCCCTCCTACTCTTCCTCCCCCTACCGCCAAGATGGTCCAAGGAGGTCGAGCATGGCTTGAGATAGCCCCCGACAGACCTCCAAGAGGCTTCAAGACGGCCACAAGACGGTCCAAGATAGATGAGCATGACTCAAGGTAGAATCCGACAGTCTTTAGCCGAACATGTCTCACGATAGCCTCCAAGAGGCCTCCAGAAAGCATCCGATGCTGTCTGGATGGGCTGGTGGGCGTACGCGAAGCGTCAAAACATTGGCTCTCGCCTCAGCGCCGCGCAAAAGCCTGTCAACATTTACACTACTTTCACGTATTGAGGGCGGGTGGTGTTCAAAGTGTTGCTCTCGCCTTAGCGTCGCGCACATTCTTTTGAAGGATTTGCAAAAGTTTCATTGGTTCTCATGGTTGAGATACCAGAAACGGTGCAGTGGAACGGTGTTGGATTGTCAGCGCGCGGCAGTTACTCAGATCGCTGTGTTGAAGTTCAGGTTGACTCGGGGCGTTGAAGTCTTGAGAATGGTACTTGGACACGCTTCAAGATTGTCCCACGGTTGTCCCCCAACGGGCCACTTCCCTCAGTGGAAATGGACCCTTGTATGTGGCCTATGAAGAGGGAGCTTCGTGGGAGGGTATATCCCAACATCGATGCGCCTTGGGTTTACACTGGTCCTCCTCCTCCTCCTCTTCCTCTTCGTCCTGCTACTCCTCCATCTTTTCCTCCTCCTCATCCTCCTCATCCTCCTCCTCATCATCCGGCTGCTCACCCTCCTCCTTCTTCTCCTCCTCCTTCCTCCTCCATTTCATCATCATTATCAGCATCACAACAATCATCAGCATCAGCATCATCAGCGTCATCATCAGCATCATCAGCATCATCAGCATCATCATCATCACCATCCGCCTTCATCCACCTCTACCTTTCCCTCCCTCTTCCCTTCACCTCCTCCCGCTCCTCCTCATCCTCCTCCTCCTCCTCCTCCGCCTTCTCCTCCTCCTCCTCCTCCTCCTCATCATCATCATCATCATCCTTAGTCGCCCTCCACCTCTACGTTTCCCTCCCTCTTCCTTCCACCTCCTCCCCCTCTTCCTCGTCCTCGTCCTCATCCTCATCCTCCTCCTCATTCTCCTCCTCATCTTCATCCTCCCCCCCTCCTCTTCACCTGCATCGATGACCCCTGTATCTGATCTGGCTGATCCGTATCTTCAGTTCGACGGCGACCCCCATCCCGTCGTCGTCACACCAAGGATCCTACACGCCCCTGATCAATCAAGGAAGCTCACCTGTACGTCACTTCTGCACGGGCCGACGGCGATACGCGACACGCCAGGAACTCGTTTTGAGGATCAAGGGTCCGCGCTGTCGAGACCGCCGCGGAAGTACGGCTGCAGTGGAAGTTGACTGACTGGAAATACATGTCCACAGCCCGGGCGGAGGAAGGCACAGCCCCTACCCAGCCTCGAGCCGCCGCGGCTCGCCGTGCAGGCTCGCCGTGCAGGCTCTGTCGGCCCGCGGGGCCCCGCGGGGCACCTGGCAGAAGAGAGGGATGACTGACAGTACCCGAGGCTTGTGCTCGGGACCCCGGCCGCGCGAGACGAGGGACTGGGGAGGACTGGTCCCGCAGGTGCCGCCGAAGTGAGCATCGTTGAACCGATCCCTGTCCCCACTGGCGTGGCCTGGGCCCCACGGGCCGAGCAGTCCCCGAGGTGGGGATGTAGGCGGCTCCCCTCGGGCTTCGAGGGGCACATCCCCCACTGGGGTGGTGGGATGGTGGGGATCGGGGCGGGGATGTGGATAGGGATCGGTTGAACGATACTGAATAAATCTGTCGGCCCGGTGCCCCGCGGTGCATCCGGGAGAAATGGATGGCCGATCTTGCCCAATCCTCCGTGCCGGGGACCCCAGCCCGTGCAAGTCGGACGAGGCGCCCAGCGGGGGGCACCACCCAAGTCCGGGAACGAGGCGCCCCCCACCCGTCCCGAAGCGAAGCCACAGCCGCTGCGACGCATGACGCCTCCCCCCATTCGAAGGGGGCCGCGCGGCGGCAGCAGAGGCGACGAAGGGAATGTCCCCTCGGGCGCAGGCGAGGCAAAGCGTCGGGAGAGCTGGGGCGCCGCTGGCGGCGCGAGCGCACGCCCGGAAAGCACCCCACATCCCACGGATCCTGATGAAGGGCGGAATGCGTGTACGCGTTTTCTGGCATGTTTCCCTCATGCCTCCTCCTTCCTCATCCTTCATCCCCTTGTCGTCCTCTGGCTACTCCTAATCCTCCTCCTCCTCCTCCTCCTCCTCCTCCTCCTC